AGGGCAACCGGTGGTGATTTAAGGCGCAGCAAGGAGCACAGGAGGAGCTTCCCGGTCAGGTATGAAAACTAGTTTTCCCAAGCATGACACAGAAACTGCGAGACACAAAAAAACCCCAACCCCAAACTCAAGGCAGAGCTGAAAAATACGTCACAAGGAGGTAGTACACAAACCCTAACAGGGATGCTGGGGCAGGTAAGGTGTAAGCAAATCCACAAACTTTCTAAACAAGCACCTGAAGCCCAGCACAAAAACTAGGTTATGTTCTCAGGGCCACGGACGAATGAATACACAACAGAAGAACGAAAAGAGCATTCACTGTGAGACAGATGTTTCCTATTGCACACTGGGCATTTCCCGCTGTTGCTGCTCACATAGCCCAGCCCAGCTGGAGGAGGCACCGCACACCTGGAACTCGCCCCCTCTGCAGCTTCCCCGGGTTTGCTCGGGGCTGCGACCGTAAGGAAGGGCTCAGCCGCCGGGTCACGCCTTTCAGTGGGAAGGAGCAAAGTTTCCTGTTAGCACTGATCGGTTTGTACACCTACATTCAATAACTTCATATAGTAGGATTTCCCAAAAAGTACTGGATTAAAACCACCTCTGTGTTTGCCTAATAGTGCCATGAAAAACAGAACTAAAGCAAGTATCTGATCTGACTTGAACAAAATACAAGGCTGCACAGAGCTTCAAAAGACTGACATTCGACTGAAGCATTAATATGAAGTATGGTTATATATGTCATGAAGTAAGTGCAAAAAGATCATTTCCATTATATTACACTTTCTCGAATGCAGTAGGTTATCCTGTAGTGTTTACACAGTGAAAACTATTAGATTTTCTGAATTTCTCCACACTACTCAGAGATGTCATCAATACATTCCACTCCAATACAGAAACTTTAAATATTCTAATAAAAATAGCTTTTTTTTCTTTTTATCAACCAAGAGTAAGTTGAAGGCAAATATACCAGAGTATGCATAGCTTTCAAAATGTAAAGTACATCATGAACAAAATACATCATGAACAAAGTATTCTTCTTCATTTATCTGTTGTAATGCATCTTATTTAACAAGTCAAGATTTTGGGACAATGTTATTTTGGAAACACATTGAACTGAAGAACATTGACAGGAGAATGAAATTTAGAGGACAAAAATAAGTCATACAAATCATGTATATTTAGAACACACATACTGTATGCTCTGAGCTTCCCTGAAAAAAATAGTGCAATTCAGTGTATATACTGAATTAAATCAAGAGGCGGTACACTTTTATTCCTTTGAAAAAATACTGTTCTAAAAATACTTGGATGTCCTCTAAACTTTGCCTTATTTTATGGAACTATAGCTTAAAATTTCATTTCCATATGCAAAATATTTACACTTTATAAACTTGCAGAATTTCTAATAAACTATTTTATATATACTTAGACAAAACTTAATTTATATATAATCCTATTATGTCTTGCAGATCCAAACTCACCACATGTACAATAATTTACAGTGACAGAAGCCTCAAGCATCAAAATATCTCCTTTAAAATAACAATATTAGATAAGAGTCCTCTACAGATTCTGAATTGCAGTATTTTCTGGATTGCCTGAATATCATTAAACATCTGAGAATATGCACAATTTTAATTAAATATCAAGTAGCAAGGTTTGTGCTGTCATAACAAATGCTTGCAACATTAAAAAAATACCTTAAAGGAACAAACTAAATTTTACAAGAAGCCTCTGAAATTAAGGCTTGAAACTAGACTTCACTGGAAGGTTCAATATAAGTGCACACACTAAATGTAAATCTGGAATACTGAAGTCCCTTAAATACTTAAGAATAAATTTGTTGAGCAAAAGTTAAATTAACAAGTAAGCTCTAAATGTACAAGTTATCAGCAGTATTTAAAACTGAAAATTTTTGCCTACTTTGGTATAAAAGCTCCTTTAATCAGGCACATTTACTTTTATAAGACAAGCAAAAGCTTTAATACTATGGCTATCACTGGATATTTAAGCAATGCCTCTGTGGGTCTGTTTTCAATTACATAAACCTTTTTTAGAATCATTTTATTTTGTATTCAACCAAAGAACCAATATTGCCAACAGTGATAATTTGTAATATACTGTAGTGCTGAACAGTTAAGCCAAAATAGCGCTTCTCAAAATCTAGTATAATTGTCATTGGTTTTAATAAAAAAATAAAATCAATTTACAATTAAAATACTTTTCTTGTATTTTGATATCTACTGATATTTGAGCTATCTGAACTTTTTCAATAGAAGCATTATCAGTGAAATCCCTTCCACATTTTTATTTTAAAAAAATGATTTTCAGGTAACCAGAAAACTTCAAGACTTCTCTCTGAAACATTACAATAGAATTTATTTATCTCAAGAACACCACAGATGTATTCCTGTTAGGAATACATACATCCCTAATTTTACACCATGTGATTTCTCCTACTGCCATCAATGTATTTATTCACAACGTGTAAGATGAAGCATGAATTTCCTCACAAGAACATGATCTACAATATAATAAATTAAAGCATTCTATGAAAACAATAAATCAATTTAATCTCAGTTGTACCAGACTTTCAAAATACCTCTTAAAGCCCTCCATAACTAGAAGTCGATTAATAATGTTCCCAGTCCACAGCTTCTGAAAGGCACGTAACTGAAGAGTCGAGTTTGTTTGTTTTGAAGTCCTCCTCAGATGAAGACAGTCTGAAATAATTTGTGTTAGGACAGTCTAACGTAAGGCATTAAAATATTCCTCTTTATGCTCTAGCTCTATGTTAAGCACCACTTGCTATTACAGTGTAGAACGAAGCCAACATTTTCTTCAAAAATGTGTTTGTACTTGGGACATCATTTGTGAGGGAGATGCTGATGAGGCCGATGAATTGGGTATCTTAGAGTTATTTGTGATCTGTAGTTCTTCAAGTCTCCTTATATAATCATCACGTAACGCAAGGAGCTCCATGTAACGCTGCTCCACTGGATTTGGCTGCTAGAAAGAGAGCTGTATTAGTCTTACCGCTTCAGTCCAGCTACGTCTACAGAGTTAGGCTGCTGCAGTACTTGAGTTCCCCTGGCATTACTCAGTATTTGTAGCTCACAACATAGGGAACAAGTTGTAACCAAACAGAAATACTTATTTCTATAACGAAAGAGCCCTCTGCCTTCCAGATGAACAGTTCTTACTACCTCAAAGTCAGCCAGCACTTCCCAGAACATATGGATTTGATTTTCTTATCATCTGTTATTGTGTGGAAGGATACTTTGTCTGAAACTTTTCTCTTCTTGACTTATTAACAAGTTTTAGACTCGAGAGGTCAGATGACTCATCATCTTCCCTAAAACGAATGTTTAACCACACTATTTTAGCTACTCTGATCAGATTAAGATGAAAACCACGTCTTCAGATTAAATAACTTCCCTTACTGACAAAATTTACTTCAGTTTTTATTAGTAAATTTGCAACTTTGTGTAGATAAACCAGTGAAATAAATGCAAATCTTTATTAGAGAATTTTGTGAATAAAGTTGAATGTGTTTAAAATCAGCCGCCCCAGCTTTCAGGACATTACTCATAGAAAGAGCATCTTAACTGTTTCCATCTTAAACTTCGTTTCCCTTTCCAGATAGAGCAATGAATCAAATGGAAAAGTAGGATTACAGATGTCCAGGGCAGATAAAGAGCCCAAAGTTACATCCAGCTGTAGACATCTGCCAAGAATTTGCTGCTGTTTCACAGTTAACTCCTGTAATTAAAAGCTACTAGCAGTACCATTTCATGGGCAGGTGTAACCACCTCGCCACTTCAAAACCTGCTGCACCAGCACTCTTACGTGCACCACTCACTACACACCCCATCTGAGGACAGCAGGGACCGCTGAAGCAACTGGGGAAGTTGGATCAATGACAGAAGGCAGCTACTAAGATGAGTAGAGATGTAGAGTTAATGATGCTGCCAGGGACAGACCTGACTCTTCATTAGACTGAAGCCTGATGCCAAACATGCTCCTAAGTAATGACACCAAGAAAGGTCATCAAACAACCAGTTCAGGCCACATGTCCATTATTCAGTTGCTTAAGTCAAGATGAAGAGTAAATTTCATGTGCAGCAAAAAAATCTGTTGCATTTTATATATAAAAATGGTGAAAATGAGGGACCAGGAGCAGCAGCACAGAAGATTTTCACACGGGTTTGTAAGAAACTGCTGCCAACTCCCCTTTCTGAATAACGGCAAAGCACATTTTAAAGTAGATTCACAGCTCATTTGCATGCCCTATAATCCTGCAGTTTCTAAGATAAATCATTGGATTCACCTTTTGCATAATGCCCTCATTTTTCACAGCAAGCAACAAAAGCTTTAAAACTAGAACTCAAACTAAAACTGGCAACATACTTGTCAGAAAATATAGCAAGCTCCCCGGCTTTCTTGCAGCCTCTAGAGCATCGTAAATAATACAAGAGATCAGCTGCGGAAAAGGAAGTGCCTTGCTTGAAAACTCCTGATTCATTCCACGGGCCGGATTGCAAAGACTGATTTTTGTTAAAAGAAATTGCTCCTCTATCTTCTCCCCAACTCAGAACTCCCCAACTTGTTAGGAAGGACACAGAAGTCTCTACACACTATCTTTATGTGTCACTCTAGTGAGACTTCTAGCAAGACTGTAACAAACGTGGAGAGTTCCCACATTAAAAGCACAGAACTGAACTATGTGTAATTTGATAAAAGCCTTTCTGGGCTTTCCATCTCATCCACTTATATAATTTACAATAACAACTTTCATCCAACAATAATACAATGTGAACAATGTTGGGTCATCAAAGTTACATTAAAAAAACCACAACATCTTACCATAAGCCATCAATATAGTTTTTTGAGCAGTTTTGAAAGAGAAAGGACCAAATAGTTCATCTTAATTTGTAAAAGACTAAGCAAATGCAGCTATGTTTGTGATGCTAATACCCCAACTCTTCAGGGATCAGTAAACCCTACTTCTAAGCATTGTCATTCATGCTTTAGTAGCACCAAATGCCCTTAAAAATGCTCCCCCAGTCCTGTTCCCAAGAAAAGAGGCTTAAGGATGACTTGATACTAAACAGGGAAATAAGATCAGTGTTCTGAGTGAGGGGAAAAAAAAAAAAAAAAGAAAAAGAGAATAATAATTTTCACCTTTTTTTCTCTCCATCTTTAAAAATAGTTATTAAAAAGTCTGAACAGACTGCAGGTACTATTCTACAAGTTATGACACAAAATCCTATTTCTGAAGTCTAAAAGGCTTTTGTACATTATGGAGAATTTACTTACTTGCTGCCGAATTCTTGGGTTCCACCTGATGTAGTAATTGACCCAGAGCTCTAAATGACGCATACTGGCTACTGGATAGAGTGCTCGATTTAGTTCTTTAGTATAAAAAGGATTGGTGTATTTAGACTTTTCACTGTTTATCAAAGACCATAATGATAATGTTTTCTGAGTCACTTTCTAAAACAAAAAGGAAAGAACAGTAAATATTTGCACAAATCAGGAAATCCATCACAGGAGCCATGGTTACATTCTAAAGCTGACACACTTCTGATTTACTTAGAGGCATGATAAGTTACTGTCTTAGAAATACTCCAAAACCAGTGCTTGACAAGTGACTGCATTGTCTTTAAGCTACCAAAATCACCGAATTCTCCCTGCAACTATTCTATAACAAAAATAAAGCCAGTTCAAAACCACTGACATACAAGGAATATAACCAAATACAATGCAACCAAAACTTTGGAATTACCTAGACAGCAATACAATTATCAATTAGTGGCTTGACTAACCTCTTTTTCTCTAAGAGACTCACTGTTATACAAGAAAGTACCAAAGCGGCAGCTGTACAAGTGATCCAGGATGGTAATCAAGAACTGCTCGTTGAATTCAAAGGCCGTAGGAAACTAAAAACAGACAAGACAAATTCCTTGTAAAAGCAGGGAGAAATGCGCATGCTCCAGTTAAGAGGCTAAAGGCAGCATTTAGAAGCCTGAATACATCTACGAATATTTAAGATAGTACTTTCATATACTTACAGCAGAGTAAGTGCTCCATTTTCTCAAACTAGCCACCAAACTTTTGTCAAAATGACTTTAATTTTTAACAGAAAAATAAACTACAGAGTGGTTTTACTAACAAGACAGAAACAGATATCCATACTGCACTCTTTATGGTGCAGCACCACACAAGAAAATAAAGGTTTAGTTCTTAATTCTTGGCCTGAAATGGACTAAGTTTGCTGCTTTGTTTCTTTAATACTGAAAATACAATATTGAAATCACAGCACTCAACAGCTCTCAAGCTTCCTTTGAGCTTTGACAAAACACCATTTGTCCCCGTAGTTCAAGGGACAGCTTCACAAAAACTGAAATGGAACAACAGACCAGACCCCCTCAAGACAGCTGGATGCAAATCCTGTAAAAGCATTTGGCTGGGTCCCCCCTTGCAGTAACGCTTCTGAGGAGCCCGTATCCACGACATACAAGGAAAAGCCATATTAAGCAACACACCTACAGCCTGTATGCCACTTTCAGAAATAGAGTAGCGAGATGGCGTGTTTTTTTAAGTAAACACACTCTTTTTGACTACAGTGTCAGAGCAGACATAATATACTGTTCTCTTGAAATACTTTTTGTTTGTGTTTTTTTTTTTTAAAATAAAGATCTAGGGGTTTGATTCAGTAATCTCCTAACAATGTTACCTTCTGCAGAATGATGTAACATACCTGTTTAGACATCTGCCACACACAATCAATAAACTGGAGAAAGATGGGCGATCTGTCTGCATCAGCATGATTTTTATCACCGTGGCCTATTCTCTGAAATAAAGCAATACAGCCTCCTGTTAACTGAAATAGTCTATTTTATGGTCAACAGACATTATTTCTTATTTTGGACTACAATATTAATACTTCTGTAATAGAGCAACCTGTTCCTATGATTTCAGAATTAGTCATTGCACCAAGGAGGAGAGATACAGATACACAGAAATACTGCAAAGCTGTTTCAAAGACGTCTGAGAAAAATTGCAAAGTGATAATTGGCCTTGTTATAAAAACCTCTTAGTTAATGGACAAGCAGAACTGTAAAAGCATCCAGCACTTTGCAAATAATCAAGATGTATTTTGAACTACCATAGTGAGTTTGTCAAAAGTCAAGTTACATACTTGATCTTCTTTTGTAATTTAAGCCATTGGAGAACCCAGATCATGCAACTAACCCACAGAGATCCTCCTCTTCCCACTCCACACTTGAAACTAAAGATTCTCCCTGAGGTAGCCAGTGAACATGAGCAAGCTCAAAGAAATCTTCACACTCTTGACAGAAAATTAACACACATTTCTGAAGTTTGGGTGAGCTGCTTATTCTAAGGAGTCCAAAGTAACAATCAAAGAAATTGTCTCCACAGACAAGAAGCAGGTTTGGTAAAAGCTGTTTGCTTCCTTTTCACATCTGATAACCGGTAACAGGGAAAAGAGATTCTATTAATTCCATAATTCTGCTTGAATATACTTGCCTGGATGATACTTCCATCTATGTTGAACTAAGATGTTACCTGTCTGCCTGTAAGATAGCAGGCTTAGTGTCTTAAAGGCGTGAAAAATGACAAAACCAGTACATGGCTCTGTACAATCACTTGCAAGATGCAACAGATTTGAATGGCAGGAAATAGAAGGAGATGAGGGATTGTAGCTGAACTCAGTCAGCAGTAGCAAATGATTAGAAAAGCACTGTAAGGAAGACAAATTTGCCTCTGCTCTCCAGTTTTCATGGCTTACAATATGTGTTGTCTGTTAACAGGCTCATACATGGGTTGAGTAAGGAGTGAAAGTCCTTCCACTTTCACTTACGGGTAGGAGTTTTAGGATATCTGAGTATTTTTCATCTATAATTATGTTTATGTCTCATATTTCCTACATCAGAATGCATTATTAGAATGACATGCCACATAGCAAGAGTTCTTAGCGTCCAAATAGTGCACTAAGTTCACTATATTCACTATACACAGAAAAGCTGGGGCAGGGAATTCCTTTTCAATGAGGAAGCTCATTGTGTATTTCATTAGAGAGAAAACACCGAGAAGAACTATTCAGTCATCTACTATTTAGTTATTTGATATTAAAACATCCAAACTGCAATTCTGGTAATGTGAAAATATGAAGCTTGCTCTAACCCAGACAATGTAAGAAAGACTTGACCTACTCTTCTCCAAATGCCCACCTGAGGGAAGGCAGAACAACCGTTTCAGAGCTGAGGTTCAGGAAACGCTAACTGCATTGAAGTGCCTTGTCCTCACTGTCAAACTCTCAGTTCTATCAAATGATTAGCAAACTAAAATAGAGCACATATTATCAAAAATATTTTCTGCTTGCATTATCAGTTTGAATCGTATAATCATTTAGGTTGGAAAAGAATTTTTAAGATCGAGTCCAACCATTAACCCAGCAATGCCAGGTCCACTACTAAACCGTGTCCCTCAGCACCACAGCTACATGTTTAAATACCTCCAGGGATGGAGACTCCACCATCTCTACAGAACACTCCAGAAAAGGACGGCCTTCGCTGTAAGCTAAACAACCCATCAAATCAGAACGTATGGTACGCCCAGAAAACAGCGGCTAACTGAAGGAGAGTGGCTTCAATCATTTTCAAAAAATACTACTTGAGCCAGCAAGTTGAGAAAATAAAATAGCAGTTTAAGCAAAAGGTAGGTGCTTCAATCACTGTTATTGCTGCTACATTGTCAGAGATGAACAAGAGGACTGAGCTACTCATCTGGAAGGGGTGTAAAAGTCCTACCTAACAGGAGAAAGGTATTATGTACTGAGAGAGAACAAACTCTTTTGACTGCTCAGACTGAAATGAATGGTTTAATAAAAAGAACCATAGATTATTCAAATTTATTCATAACGATGGAGACACAGATCTCTCTTTTTAAGCTTACATTAAATCATAATATATGCATGAGACTACAAGTCTCCCAGTTACATAATCTAATTTTACCTGCATTATGACTATAATGGTTTTTTAAAACACAAAATAAAATACAAGAATAAAAAAAGGCAAGCCAGTGTTTTCCTGTAGCTGTACCCAGAAAAATAATGCAAAGGTTTATGTAAAGCATCACTACTAGAAGACTATAGGTAAGTACATAAAAAAATGGACTACAGCCGATATTACTCCCAACAATCAAAAAGCAAATCTCCTAAGCCTCAAAGCACCTTTAGAACGTCACAGCAAAGACTGCTGCATCCTACAAGCACACTTCAGTGGTGAAGTGATTCACACCGAGGAGCTAACTGTGAATTTCCAAATACATATGTAGGTATGTTTTTCCACTTCTTGATTTTTCCAGATCACCTACATTTTAGCAATATTAAGAATTATCTTTAGAATATTCTACTAGGGACACAAAGTCTACACAAATAATTTCAGCTGAAGGTGTGGTACCTTGTTACTGTGAATTACAAGGTTCAGCATCAACAAGTAACACCATTGGTAAAGCTCCCCACTTAGGCTTTATGTTTACATATGCCAGCACGCTCTCCCTGGCAATCTATGCTGCTGCTCCAGGTTCCTCCTATGATTTCCTGGTTCAATGGTTAGCTGCCCAATTTCAAAGACGTTCCACTAAGACACTTGACAAGTTTCCTAACAAACACTTTGCATTACACATGGGAAGGATATTAAGGACTTGCTACCGACAATTTCTACTTAATCTTCTAAGCATCCAGAAGACAACTGAACAGAACTAGAGCCAGCATTACCAGTGACAGCCTCTCGAGAGCTATTATTCTAAGTTAAAACCATTTGGGAAGAAGCATTTAAAACATCACTTAATAGACATTGGGCAGATTCATACAAACACCTCTCACGACATTCAAAATAGCCAAAGAGAGAGTGAGGCAGAAGCCGCATGTCCTAGCCTTATTTGATTTTCTTCTGACAAGTTTGGGAGGGCATAATTTTTCTGCCTTCTCATTTTTTTTGCTCAATAACCACAGTTATATAATAATATATGATATATATGATATATTATGTATATGATATATGATATATAATAATAACCATTTTGCTCAATAACCCCAGTAATTCTGTGTCTTTAGAAGAGTGTCAAGGACAAAATAAGAGTCCTCAGAGAAAGAAGAGAAAAAAACCAAAACATTAACCAAACAGGCCCAAAGCAAAAAGCTCTGCTCGGATTTACCTGGAAACAGGTTCAAACAGAATTCCGGCATAATGAAAAGACTTATCGAACCTCGACACAACAAGCAGTTCAACATGCAAAGCTTTGTAGGATGTTAACGTTGCCCGGTCCTTGCGATCATCATCTGATTCTTACCGACGCAAATTTGTGTCCAAAGCTTATCCACTCCTTCTGCACCAGAACTTCAAAGCCTTCGATGGTTCTGTAGTAGCTGTCCAGCATCAACATGGCCAGCGACGTGAGCTGGGCTGTCCGATCCCAGCCATCGCTGCAGTGAACCAGCACCGAGCTCCTGCCCGAGGACACCTTGTCTGCCACTTGAATAGCTCCCGTCAAGACAAGCTGGTGAAGAGGAACAGACATCAAACACCACCGATTAATGTTATCGTTCTAACAAAAATAAATTGATTTCTTTGTATCCACACAGTACCTAAATTGAGACAGCTTCCATTAAAAGACCTAAGGACGACGGTGTAGTTAATTGGAAAAGAATTTTCTAGGAGCTCAAGTAAATTTCTCGTATAAAAATAGAGAAACAGATTGGTTCCCTAATCCCTCAGTAAGATCTAATTCATCTCACAGCAAATTCTTAAAAATGGGGCAGAAAATGAAAGAACATAAGCTCCTTTTTTAAAGAAAGAGAGGATTTACCGTAGGATATACTCTCTAAAAAAAAAAAAATAAAAAAATCTGTATTTCATTTGTCTCCTTTCTTTGAACTAAAATGCTGAAGTATCTCAGTTGTTGGAAAAAGGAACTTATACTCTCCTAATATGCTTATTTTACAAATATTAACTTAAAATGACAATTTTATTAAGTAGGATTCATTACATAATACTCTACTTTTGTACAGCTGTACTTGAGGCAGAAGGTTCAAAAGTCAACTAGCATAAACACTGGTGAATTTAAGTATATCATCTGTGCTACTAGATGAAAGTTACCAATTTTACAAATAAATTTTAAAAAATCATAATTCCCAAAATAAATTCAGATACATGCTGACAACTGAAGTAATTATTAATCCTCCATAATGACAGCTATCCGTCATCCTGTACTGCTAGAAATGAAAATAAATGAGTTCTCACACACGTGAAGACAATTAGGCTAACAATGTACTCCTCTATTAAAGATTGACATCTGACTTGAGGCAGACAACAAATGTTGAATTTCATCTACTGTTCCTTAGTAATGATAGCTCATGTAAGACTAGCTGGCAAAAAGCCTACACTCTGTGACGCTGGTTTTGTGGTCTCAGCAGTCTGACGTGTTCTGTGTCAGTCTAGCAAAGAAACCAAGTCTGGTGCAACAGATCTGGACAAATGTTATTTCAAGCAAAGAGCGAAAAGTTACCTTTATATGTTCTAGCCAATGGGTTGATTCCAGACTCGACAACCAGTGTGATTCTTCCACATTAGGATAAACTATGTCCTTCAACTTCTTCAAAGACTCCCGCATGACATGAATATTATGAATGTCCAAGAAGAAAAGTTCTGCATTGGGATATGCATCTTCACCTTCATATCCTCCTCCAGTTGCCTACAAACAAGAAATCTATAATTAATTTCAGTGATACACACGCTGCTGTAGCAGCTTTTCAGCAGAGCAAGAAGGAACTGAATTTTACGTATACTTTATTTGATAGTCAGGCAAGATATAATTTCAGTTGCTTGCTTAAAACATCACTCTCCAATACTAGCTTTGGAGGGGCAAATTCCAGAGACGGATACTTGGGGGCTTTCCTTTGTCCGAGAGGACAAAGTGTATTAAGTACAGCACATGGGCAGAAAGTTGCTCCATCTAACTCGGTTCCTTTAAAAACCTTAAGGGAGTAACTCTAAAAGGGAAAATTCATTACTCTAGATTAACACTAACAAAGCTTGTTCACATGGTTAGGCCTGGAGACCTTTGAATAGGATTGTCCTGGCCAGGTAAGGGCCAGCAGGCCAGCGTTACATCAGTCAGAGCTCAGGCTGCGTTGAGAATAAAGAAACATTTGTACCTTCCTCATTACTCCCGAGATTCACGGCAGAAACAGCTTTTCCCCGACCAACTGACATTACAATGTCAATTTTTTTTCTTCATGTATATTCACTTTTCCCACCAAGGATTAAATAAATGCATGATTCTGAATAGAGAAGAGATCAATTTGCTTTCTAGACAGACCATGAAGTTTAAATAATCACACAAAACAGCTATTACTGGTAACGTAGCAGATGATCACTTTCAAGGAATAAAATTGCTCATTTTTTTGTTTCTGTACCAATTAAAAAGAAATTCACTCAAAAGAATTTGTCTAGTTTTACACCACTAATTCAGAAGGGAGCAAATCTCAGGTTTACCAGTGCAAACTTGCTACCTGTGTTTAAAGTGCCCAGTTATTTACTGCTAAAATTGAACTGGCACTGAAATCCATAAATCTATAAAAGTAAAGTGCCTAGTTATTTACTGCTAAAATCGAACTGGCACTGAAATCCATAAATCTATAAAATATTTGGGCAAATAACATTAAGAGTTAAGAATAAGCTACATTTCATTTAAGAATTAAGTTCAAGAATCTTAGATTGTGCCTCTAAGTAGTAAATTAGTAATAACACTGAAGTTCACTTAAAGTAACTCCCCTAATATTAAATTTTATTGCTGAAGACTAAACATGTATTCAGATCATTAAGAAATTGAGCAGCCACATGAGCAGAAAGTCTGTCTTACTGCTGCTCTCCCAAAACATTTAATCACCACCACAGCAGAGGATGTCTGGTCACAAACGGAAGCGGAAAACCCACACATATTTTAGGACACAGTACCACTGATGAGGTTTTCCAAAGACAGCCGCAAAATCACAGCATTTCCTCCAGACAGCAACAACGTGCCACGCTGTGAATTGTGATGCATAAATTTTGCCTTTTAAGCCATTACAGCCACCAGCCATGCATCAGGCGACGTGAAGCACGGAATGGCTGTTCCTCGTTAGCACCACCCACATTTCTGTCCAGCACCACTACGGCTCTATTCTACGCTCTCTGTCTCCTTCCCCAGATGTGGGGGTATTCACAGAGCTGCCAGGCTCTGCCCAAAGTAAGACTCATTGTATTTTTCTCTTTCTCCTGAGTATTACGAAGGCCTGGTGAGGAATGAATGCAATTTTAGCATCAGGGCGGCTGCAACTCCTACTGACTGTGCAGTCTGGACCTATGCACAAAGAACACAGGAATGTGTGAGCAGCACAGCCCAAAATTTTCCTTATATTAATCTTCAGAGCTGCTCAAGAAAGCTGTTTTTTTCAGTGCTGATCAACACTGGCTTGCACTCTTGATGTCATTGTCCCTTAGACGCAGAAATGCACTCTCCTTCTTCTACTGCTATGATTATTTCATATCACGAGTTAATTGTAACACGGGGTGGGTGAAATACTCAGACCACTTAAAGCTGAAAATGTGCTTCATACTTCAGTAAGCATGTGTGTATAAAATTTGGTCATAATACGTCTTTGAAATAAATAGTGTAAAATTTTTGAGTTTGTCTGAGAACTGGGGAAAAAATTAAGTTAATGTAAGAACCGACATTCTTCCCACAAGGCAAACAGGGTTACATGTTTTGCTCGCCCATAAAAATTCAGCGTGCAGAGGATAACACAGTTTGTAGAGTAAAATGCCAGCAACTGAGGCAGATCCTTAAAATACAAACCATGAGATTAAGAGCCAACCAAACCTAGGACAGACTCTCTGAAAGAACGTGTGCTATAACAAAAAAAGAGAACCTTATTTCTTGCTTAATACATGATATTCTCTATACTAGAGTAAGGGCTGTAACAGTACAGACGTGCGCAAGTTGCACAGAAAAAAACACCAACCTTATTGTCCCTCTTGAATTCTGAAGCAACTTAACACTTCTTACATATAAACCTCCTAGAGACAAGCACGTTACCCTTTCATATTCCTTTCAGCACAAACATTAAAGGGGACTCAGTCCACTAGAGCAGTGTTCATTTTGTGGGAAAAAAGCCCACACTGTTCAGAAGCTGGAATCGCTTCTCTCCCAGGTAAGCATGCTCATTGTTTCACTAAGATCTCACACCCGCTTGAGCTCGTGTCTCGTGTTTTGCTGTGCAGACACCACTTCACTAGCAAGTACTGAAGAGCACGGCCGCTTCACTTGTGCTTGAGGTTCAGTGGGTAAGGGACTACCCCAGGCACGGACGGAATGAAGTTGGTACATTCTCATATGACGAAAGCATTAAACTTGTGTCCTTCACCACCTCTCCCTAACTAAGCATTTCATATAAACAGAGAGGACACTCATGTCTGCTGTGCTCTCTGCCAAACACAGCACTGACACACTGTGACCGGCACTATCTCAGTACGCTTGAACAATCCAGTCCTCACCAGAGCTGAGGGGAGTGAGAGGGGAAAATCAAGGCACAGAGACCCCTTTTCATCTTGAAAGGTTGGCCCAAGTGATCTTCCAAGCTCCCTCTCGACCTGGGTTGTTCTAGGATTGTGATCCCATTTAGATACAGATTAAAAAAAAAAAAGAAGTGGTCACTTTGTCAGATGGAAGCACCGTTACTGCACTTACGACGACATGTACCTAAGGAAGAACAGGTATCTAGGTATCCATGATCATACCCACACCACCGCTCAGTGCAAACCCCTAAATTAACTTCTTCCTCACTTTCTCTTTATTTGGTGGATGCCTGGATAGGTCTAAAGATGTTAATGTAGTAGTAAGAACCAAACAAGGGATGCCTATCAGTGGGCTTGGCTTTACGCATGCAGCCTTTCCAGCGCAGAATTTTCCAAGAGGATATGAAGAGGTGGCCTGTCATCCCAACAGGGGACAAGCTCTGCAGCGCAGAGTGCAGGCACGTATGATTTCAGTCCCCTGCCAAGATCTGTGCTTGACTGGTAACAGACAGGGTAAAGCACGTCTGGAAATCTACGTATGGTCCTGAAACCCGCTTACAACCTGCTTTAGGCACTCATGTCCTTCCATGGCCTTGAGCTTCAGTATTTGATTATGCAAATATATATTTGATTATGTAAATTTATCTACATTGGGATTACTACTGTTCCCAAAAACCTCCTCACAGAAAACTTCAAACTAAGCCTCTTCCCCACCTCCCTTCACAAGTAAGACTGTTAACGCATCTGCTTACCTTGTTTGCAACTGCATTGACATTGGGCCTGGCATCATAGATGGTCAGTTTTGAGATCTGCCCATTAGCCTCCCTGATGATATCAAGGTATCTTTCATCATCTTTATTCCGCTTGCCACTCATTCCAACAAGGGGTTGGCTGCAGCGCATAATAACAGCTTGAGTCTCTGGATGAATCCATGACAGAACCTACTCACATGGCAAAAACACATTAGAATAAATACTTTTTATTTAAAAAATCGTAACTAAAATTTTCAAGTTGCATTCTTTAAGATAAAATCAAAATTAACACTATTTTATTTCTTCAAAAGATAATCCCCAGACATCTCACCTGCTTCCACTTTAGTCTCGTAAAATTTAATAATGATCTTTAAAAGAGTTTGTTCTCTTACATACTTATTTAAATTATACTGTCCTATATAATTTAGTGCATTTTAGTATTATCTTGCAAGTCTTAGGTTGCACAAAAAATTTTGAAAAGCAAACTGGAAACAAGCATAGCAATGTCTGCTGAAATGAAGAAACAATTCAGAAGAACAAACTCATTGTAGAAACAGTGACTAAGATGCTCCAATTCTACAAGAACAACTTTTCCCTTTTTGTGGATAAGGAAGGGAAGTTGAACCTTTCTGCAGTATTTTCAACGTTTCCCTTTCTTTTTGAAGTACATTTTGTTCCTCAGCCCTCTTTACAAAGAGGAGGCACTGGAGCAGACTGCATGCTGCCTTTGTTGCTGTTCTGAGCCAGAGAGGACTTACCACACACAAGAGATAGCAGCTGCCCACGGAAGCAAGAGATTAAAGATAAGCACCCCCAGAAACAGGCAAAAAAAACCAAGTTCCTCGCTGAAGAATATTACAAAACAGTATTCTCAGTCTGCAAGTTGTGGGTTACAGAGTGAAAGAGCTCAAAAAAAAGAAAAAAAAAAAAATCTTCAGAAAGTATTCACTCCTGAAATACAACCCTTAGCTGTGTATCTGGAAACAAGACCCATCAGAGTGTGCGTGCGGGTGAGGATGACTGGTTACTTCCTGACAAGAACAAAATTATTATTACCAAGGAAATATCTCTCACTGTACCAAAGCCCTGTCATGAATCTGGAGATGACAGGGAAGATACAGCTAGCCTGTAAGAACTGTAAACACACACTATATATTTAACATATATTTCATATACATATATATATGCATATGTGATTATAGTAATTTATAATTATAGGCCTTGCCTGTCAGTAAATATCATATCTAATAAATATTTATCATATCAACTTTCACATCTGTTTGAAATTAGCTGAGATTTAAGGCAGCTTTCTGATACTGGCTAAAAATGTACCACCTCTTCCAAGTTTACCAAATCAAAATACAACTTAAACCAGACTATATTGTGATAGAAATTAATATATTCTATAGTGCTGTAAAGAGCTGATACATAAAAATTCTCTTGCCTCAAAAAAATTTTAGTTACAGAAATATACTCAAAAAAAAGTCAAATGAGTTTATCTTAAATACCACGGCCCAATTTAAAGGGCTAAAAGTCCCAAGAATTCGCTACAAAGACTACGCATGAGGTCATGAAGTTTGCTTACACAAGGACGACATTTGCTATCACTTTTTTAAGTGCATCCAACAATAGCCAACAAACCGGTACAGATGGCAGTCTGAGGCTCATATACTTCATTAAGAGGGAATCTGCAACGCTGGCAGTTGTTTCTGAAAAGTTAAAACCAAATTTGGAACGAGTGATAGTAGTGGGGGGAAAAACGGAAACATGGCTTGGCCAAGACACCAGTTTCAAGCAGTAAATACCACTAGCCAATCAAAACTATTTTGCAGCAACCATTTCCAAAAAAAGCATCCTCTGTGCCGTGTTCAGCAGAAAATTGTTTGGATGCACATTTAAAAACAGCTACGCAATACAGTAACTTTCCTCACATAATACTCACCGGGATTCTATTTCGGGACCGAAAGGCAGCGACTTTCTTGAGATCATCATCTGTGGCATTATAGGGCACTACTAAGAGTGACGGATACGTGTCGCACAGCCCGTAATGTTCATTAATAAAAGTTACCCGCCACCGCTCGTTAGGCAGCCCCTACAACGTAACACGAAAGTTTTACAGAGTCTTCTTGGCCATACAAATAATAATTCTGCTCTTGAATTTCACATGATGTTACGGCCACATGGTGGCAACAACCTACCAATTTAACCTCAGTACAGTACAGTTTCACAACAACAGAAGAAAAAAGATGACAAGACCACCCAAACCAGCTCATTGCTGAGGCATTCCCACCCTTAAACAACTGCACAGCTCCCTCCTGCACTCTTGCAGGCACAAGTCTATTCTTACAAGAAGTTTCAAAACAATGAGTAAAGCAAGTAGGTGTATTCTGTAACTGTGGGACTGACAAAAGAAAATTGGCTTCTCTCCTCCCTCTGAGCTCTCTCCTTTCCCATTTTGCCTGCTGAAAAGAGACTATGGTCCTGAGGAGAGAGGGAGCAAGTCTCACCTCAACCTTTCTTCCCTGCAGTCTGACACTGCTTTCGGGTTAACAAGAAGATTCGGGTTAGTTTTCTTGTTCAGAAATCACCACCTGTAGCTGTCGGCAGTCTGCTCAGTAAGGCTTTTCACAGACAGAAGCCAGGAAATTGAGAAAGACTGGTAAGCCCTTCATACAGCCCAGGGGGTTTGTGTGAGTGTTTGGGTCTTGGGCCTCTAAATTCTGAATCAAAAAAACATGCAAGGGGAAAAAAGAACTAAGGAGGTCCTTATTGTTTGCTATTATTTTTTCAAAAAATCCCAAACCAATGTCATATTTAAAGCAAAAATAAATTGTCTAAAAGATATTTTAAAATTAAATATATCCTCTTTCACTGACATTTTTCCCAAATCACCAAAAGAGCAAAATAGAATACTGATAGACATGTAAATAACTTCTATAAATTAACACCATTTCTAAAATAAGCTACCTTTTCTGGTCCCCTTCACTTAAGGAAGAAGCAGACCAAATCAAAGACCAAATCAAAGACCAAATCAAATTTATATTTAGAACACTGCAGTTACATATTTGACACATTCTTCCCGCCCACTGCTCATTTAACAGTGGCACATGAGGTATCAATAACTTTCTCCAAACAGCAAAGACTACCTTCCTGTGATATTCTGATTTTTTAAAAGGTTTTTTTCAAATTGTATTTCCATCTTCTCTCATTCTCAACTCCCCCCACAAAAGCACTGGTAAGAGAAATGTACAAACAGTAATTCTGAGATATGAAAGCCCCAGGCCACTGCATCTTGAATAACTCACTTGTCTCCTGTATTCAGACATGGGATTGTACACCATCCATCCATTTTCAGAAAACTTTTCTTCGTTTGCAAATGCAAAAAAACCCTGCAATATTTAAAAGAAGCTTATTACACCAAACTCTGACAAAGTGGCAAATATGAGGGCTCATCATCAGTTATACCCTAATGCCCACCTCAAAACACAACAGACTTCTCCAGGTCAGCCCCATTCTCTCCATTTAAATCTAATATTTATAAGGCTGTAAAGAGCAAGAAGCAACAAACAATACAGATCTGCTAACGAAATAATGAAAATGTGGCAACAGTTAAAACAAGAAGTCACAATAAAAATTACAAAGCTGTTGGATTATTCTACTAAGGCTGAAATATTTTTAAACAGTTTGCATGACTTTATTTCCCATGTTCTATCCACATCCTCACCAGATGAACTACTGTCTTCTCACTAAAATTTCTCCAATAGGCACAGCTGCAATTTACTACATATTAGATGTTAAATTTAAAGTGTACAAAAGGCTTTAATTGCTATTTATTTCCATTAGGAAGCAGCCTTCTTTCTGCATTTCCTCTCCAACTGAAATCCAGTTTACTATAAAACGCCACGAAAACTTAACAGTGTCCTTTGAGAAGGAAACAAAGTACAGTGTTAGCAGGTTACACCATTTACTGTTCTCTTGCTTTGTTGCTCACTCACAGGATTCATTTTTTGCAACACAGCATCCTCACCCATGGTTCTGACAAGCTTCCTCATACCTCTGCGCTTCCTTCTCCTTTCAAGCAATTCCAAGCGGGCTGCGTTACATAACTAACCCCCTTTTTGCCTTGGTTTGCTTTTATAATTTCAGATGAAAGCAGAAGTAACATTATTTTAAGGATCTCCTTCATTGAGAAAATTCTTTTTGGTGGCTTAAAAAATTCTTCAGATGCCAAGTCAAGCATGAAACCAAGTTGTTAAAAAAAAAAAAGAAAAGAAAACACAGAAAGGAACGTGCTGTCCTGAGCTCCCCGAGCAACAGCAGCTAGAGCAGAAACCATTCAAGAGCCCATCGCGGCTCATTCGTAACAAGAAAGCTCAAAGTCTCCTACCTATTCAAAAACATGAAAAGAAATTGAATGTTAAACTGAACATCCCAAGTCTACATCATTTTTACAAGTGTAGACCTGAATTAAGCAGAAATGCACAAAATGTGGCAAACAATAAAAAACTGCCATCGTGCTTCTCCAAAAGAAGGTTTTCTTCCCATGTGTTTCAGACCAACAAGTATTTCAAAAGGACATTACTGCTCACACAAGACACTTCATCCCACCAGTTTTAAAACCCACAATTTTAAATTAAACCGCTATTTTTGAGCAAGTACATTCATCGGCAAGTTTGCAGAAGTAAACACTGCATTCCCAAGGTGTGTTTTCTGAATGTGTTCACCATTTTTAAAGGGGTAGGGCCTTCAGTATAAGTAAACATTAGGGATTATTTTGACTAAATAATCTGCTATTGAGTGGGACAGAGGGAGATACGAAAAAAAGAAAAAGAGATGGACATCAATTCTACGAGAAAAAAATGCATTCCATTAGAAGGAGATGCAAGTAGCAGCAGTTAAGCAGAAAAACTAAAATTACCAACTTTTTTTCAACTGCAAACGTGGAACACAGCAAAACAGGAACATCGCTATCTAACACAGCAGATGCAACTGATTTGCTGAACTATTAATAAACAGCTAAACACAAGAACCATCCCCTCCTCCCCAAAGGAATTTGCTGTATCTCAAAGAGCAAGTATGCTAAGAATTCACCAAGGAACCAGAGGCAAAGGAGAATCTTGTGACGGTAGGAAACAGAAGCAGTGAAACCCTAACAGATCACTTAAAAGATGTCTCGGAGGCAGGAATATGTTACATTGCTACTTACTGCAAGCGAGTTTCCTGGTAAGAACTTAAAAATTACTCAGCTTAAACCCTGACAAGTAAAATACATGTGTTTATTACAGTGCACTGTGATAGCTGTTACTCGGAAGGTTTTACTGATAAAGACGGTGCCACTCCAAGCTAGAAATAAATGAATGGCAGCTACGCTACTCAGGTCACCCACAAAATAACCCATAAGAAATCAGATGGAAAAGCGTATTTTACCTTTTACAAAACAGGGTTAAATTTGCTATTGTAGAAGAATAATGTCCTACTATGTACTGCACATTTCATTTAAAACACTTGGCTACAGCAGCTTTGCCACATCTACTGCAAAAGCTTTAACAGCTATTAAAGTTGGCAATTAAGCTCCATCAGTTCTGCTGCCATTCCAGGTAGCATAAATTCTTCCTACATTGCTCGAGAAGAAAAAAAAATCATTGTAGCATGATCAATCAGCAAAATTGAGAGGTCTAACAAATAACAGAACATTACAGTGAATGCAAAGGTGTATGGAACAAAGTTTGGACGTACGTTTTTCTATGAGCAGTTCAGAGAAAATTCTTGGGAGTATATTCCAAGAACAGTACTTAAAAATGGATGGTATCTAAAACCTTGAAGACTAAAAATTTTCTTCTGCAAGAGTAGACTAAATTATATATAAAAAAATATATATACACCCACATTTATACATGCACACTGTGCACAGACTGCCTGGTTAATCTGGTTATGGTTGAAAGTCTTACTCATTGTACAGAAGAGATAAAAGATCTGAATCCCACCATCCTCGACAACCTTTCACTTCAGACCTTGTTTTTCAAGTCTTGAAATTTTATGTGAAGATGGCCTGAACTGTACTCCAGGCTAAATGCTAGGTTTGATATACAGCAACATCCCTCCCCTACCTTAGACCCATTTCTCACCACAAAACATACACAGTAATAACATAAAGCAGTTTCAAAGAGTAAAAATATTTCCTTTTCCACTCTGACAATCACAGCATGGCTCCATTCACCAGTGTACAACCTCAAGTAATTTCTCGACCCGAGATATTCATACGCATTCACGTCCACTCTAAGCAGCTCATTAGATGAAAGTAAAATCTGTACACCTCCATGTATTCCAACAGCAGAAAAGTCAGGGTAAGAGATGTGTTTAGAACTCGGCGTACATTTATACTCATTTCTTATAGATCTATATAATTTCAAATGACAGTTTAACTTCAGTGTAAAAACCAACCCACGTTTACAAACATTTTAATACTAAGAATCATATACTTAAGAAAACATGCTTGGATAGAATCGTATTTTCTTTCTTGTGTCAGCACAAGCCGCATTTAGCACACATTTGTACACTGCTTTTATTTATTAAAAAAAGAACATGATAATGAGGACTATGAAATAATTTATTGAATAACATTTTTGTTGAATTTTTACTATTTTGATGTACCGAGCTGACAAGTCCCATTACGGTCAACAAATCAGTGTAATAAATACATACTTAGATCCCAGAAGGGTTTGTTGTAGACTTCAGGTAAGCTTCACATCCACTAACAACCCACATATTTCTGGTTTTGTCCTAAATAACCCAAGCTTACAGATTAAATGCAGCACGCTTGTATCTTCGTGTCTTTCTTAACGTTGATGAACCTTTCACGTCAGAGTGCACATAATCTGAACGCAGTTCTACAGCACAGCAGGCAAACAGGACGGAAAGAAATTACGGGAATAAGAAATTATGTCATTTACAATATATTCTGCATAGATTCTCCTATCACTTGATGTAAGATTTGAGAGGTGCTATCTTAACAGAAGTATAGAACTTTGCTTTTTGTGGATACAGGTTCCTTTGTATGAGTTAGTGGCCCTCACATACAGACACTTCTTGTGTTGGGATGGGAAAGGGAAGTCCCTTCACTGCCCAGGATTCAGGATGGCCCAGCTGGGTGTGTATTTGCACCCTTCAGGACGCAGAGGAAGGTCAGAGAAGCAAAGACATGACCAGCTCTAGCAATCGCATGACCCCCCAAAGCAGAAAAGCCCTGCCGGCCTCTCTCGGAGTCGCTACACACACAGACAAGTCTTTCAAATACCAGAGTAAAAATTTGGCCACTTCTGCTCCATCCCTTCTTCACATATCTCCCCTTTCCCCCACATCTGTGGTACATCCGTGCTAAACCCTCCTCCCCGAATACTACTCTAGGTACTCTGAGCCTCCACGCTAACCTTCACTCACTTCTTTTTTTCCCCCCACCTCCCCAAATTCCACTCCCACCTCATTATTAATCCTGCCTCTCCAACAGAAAGCACGTCTCCACAGCTCTTGTTCCACCCAGCTTATTTTCCCAGGAATGAAATCAACTGCAGCTTCACTAGATGTGTCTAAATTTAACAAAAATGGTTGGAAAATTAAAAAAAAAAAAAAAGAAAAAAGAAAAAACCCCAAACCCAATACACATATAAGAGACATCCAGATGCAAATCAATATTGCAGTAAAACAAAAGTGTTTTCGTTTGTTTGGGTTTAAGATCATGAACAGGCCTTATAAAATCATGATCAGACAGCACAACTGGTTTGTACAGGTGTACCGAAGCCAACTCCAGATTAGTTTGGTCAGACACCGAGTACAAATTTCAGGGGGACTGCCTGCTCAGTAAATCTGTTTCAGGCAGCGAGGCAGAGCTGGCCTCCCTCCTCTCAGCACCAAGGCCAGTTAGCTGAAAGCCACTTGAATAAAGCAGAGATTTACCCTAAATTACACTGATACTGGTTTCATCTCACATCTTGTGTTCCAAGAGGGACAGTTTGCGATCACTTCCAACGCACTGACCATATCTGTTCTCAGTTTGATGGAGATCAGCACTACAGGTCTGAGGGAAGCCCATCAACTCCTGTTAGGCTATCAACTACTTAAAAATCGAGTTTCAAATTATTTTCTGAAGAAATCAAAAAAGCCTTAAAGAGGTAAGATTTTTTTTTTTTAGAAAAAAAAAGGTATAATCACCATCCAGAAAACCTATGGAGTGCACAGCTTGTCACTTATCAAATACTTGTATTTGGTAAAAACAGGCAACACTTATAATACATTTTTTGCAAAAGCAAATTAAAGCCTCTGTGCAAAGAATGGAAGTAGGGATTTCATTGCAGTTCTATAGCCTAAAAGCAGAAGACTACTACTTCACTTTAAAAAAAGACTCTCAAATCTCAGAGCGTTTTTGGTAAGCTACTTTTTATGCTTCACTGTGCAAATAATTCTGTTTACTTCCTCGCAGGTGCTAACCCCCAATTTCGACACGCAGTCTCTTTTTGAGTCCTCCTACGGACTAAGTGCTTGCCTTCCACATTCAATTTATCATTGCCATTTTGCACACAAAAATAATATGCAACACACTGGCTGCTGACAACACAATGTAGTTCTGTGAGATAAAGGAGAGAGCAGCTGCAATTCAACAATACAGTTTGGCAAGAGTCTATTTACAAATAGTTATATATTTATTTATGGAAGTATAATACATAAATAGACAGTCTAGAGCATATAACATATATACCATTTATTAAATGTTTGACCAGTCTTTATGTGTTACAAAAGAAAACAGTGAAACTAGAAAAAGAAGGTGTTACATGCGAAGAAAGTAAACTTCATTTTTTCTATTTCTAACTTAGTGGTTTATGCTTTTCATATATTATAAATCACTAAGTTTTTACTTGGTGAAATGGCTGTCAGTTTCTCAGTATGTTTAAAAATAAAGACATCACTATGCTTGTCTTTAATATGCCATTAAAAACAACTTGGCCACTACTCTTACCTGTTCATCTAAAAGGTAAGAACAGACACGGCAGCATTTACATAATTAAGATCTGATCATTTGCAAATATGTAACCTTATACACCGTTATTGCACCGAGACTGACGTAAGTCATTGAGAATGAAGTCTCGCTCAAGATTTTTTTTGCAAAACCAAGGGCTCCATCAGACAGGCACCTACGCCAGGCCTCACTGCCAGCTAAAATTGTCTTTGCAGATTCAACAGCAGCACTGGCACAAGCTGACTCGCAGACATTTTAAATTACCAGAACTACCGGCATTGGGAGTGGGAGAGGGTAACGTCAGACGGCATGACTGCCAGCACCTCTCAAAGCCAGCCTTCCTACAGAGCTATCGCCGTTAGAAATAAATATGTATTATGCAGGTATTATGGCAGCAAACAATCTTACAAAAATGAGGTTGTGTAGCTTCAAGACAAGATCAGGAAGTGAAGCAGCTGCTACGCTGAACCTAAACTACAGCAACTAAATATACATCATCTTTTGTGGGGTACTACAAGCATTTACTTTTGGGGAGCTGGGGAGTTTGGGTTGATTTTTTAAAAAACTATTAAAAAAACCCAACCTTTCAGCAACAATATTGTTTCAGTTAGCACAAGTTTGCAAATGCAGCTGTTTGTTCCATATCAACTAAGATGTCAGTCAAATGAGCTATCAGATTTTATGCTGTTACTGATTCAAGGAGATCTGAACCCAAATTAAGCTTGCTCAAACTGGAGAGAAACAAGAATTACTTTCTAGATGTAAGCACAAAGGGCAATGGTGAGATGCTGCGAACAGACGTGATTTATTACAGGCTCTCAAACGCTGCTGTTGGGATGGCAATGAAGAAAAATCTTGGAAACAGTCAGTACACTCCATTCAGAAATGTTTTGTCTGAGAATGGTACAGCATGAAGAAAAGAGAAGCAAGGCATCTCTGAAAGTTCTTCTTTAGGAACAGCTCTAAGGATGTGGTTCTACCACAGGTGAAAAAACCCAAATAATCAGTCAGATAAAAATCTGACATAAGATAGAAAAATATAGATAAAAAACAGGATAGTAAAGGCTTAGCCGTTTATTGTTCTGATGATGCCTTCTCTCCACTACAGAGTTGCACAACCATCAGTGCTGCTGAAACAGGTGAGGAGCAAGGATGCAGTTCCACAAGGTGGTCTGAGTAAAATTATCAGTTTAATGCTGCTAAAACCAGGACTGCCCTTTTTCTTCTCTTCTGCCTGTTCCCTGTTGCACACACTCATTCCTGGCACATCTCGATTTCAAACCAGGTCTCCTCAAATTACTAGAAGTGGCACCAGACTAACTCAGAGAACAGAATATTCAGTGCTGGGTAAGTGAGCTACATTGTTTTACTCAGAGATTACACAACAGTCAGTCTGGTGTAGGAGGAGTAATCAATCATGGGCTGGAAGGTAGAGAGGAGGAGACTAAAGAAAAGCAAGGACTCGCCATTTGAGTAGCAGAGGACTACTCCCAGCTGTCAGGTGAAGCCAACAGCACGTTCTTTACAGAAGACCTCCCGGATCAGGCTGGCTGCAGGGTCAGAGCACTAGCGTACGTTCAGAGGAGCAGGCAGGCATGCACAGCCCAGACAGGCTGTCCTACTGAGACAGGGAAACCTTGTCCTAAACCAGCCACTGAGAAGGGCAGTCCCACCATTCCGCTTCACTCACATCCACCCATAAATGCCCCAACTCCATCCTCACGCTGGGCTAACAACACTGAGGAAATGATTCAGGGGAAACCTTTTATTTTTTCCCCTCCTTGTTTAGCTTTCGTCCCTTTCAGTTCCCCATTTACTTCATCACCTCAAACTCACGCAGGAAAAACCAAGGCAGGAGTGAACACCCAGGCAGGGATGTCCACCTTTGGCAGGATCAGTTTAAGCTGCTTGCTGAGACGCAGTGACAGTCTACCAAAAATCCCACTCACTTGCTGTGTTCTTTTGGGGGGCTCATTCACATTCTGACATTAGAAGACCAAGACAGGTGCAACTTCATGATATAACATAATCTATAATTTGACATTTCTACCTATAGCATTCTTTTCCAGCATCCTTTCAAAGTCCGTATATCCTGATACACTTTCTATCATTATCTAAGATGCATAAAATGTCTGCAGTAGTTACACATATCTATTTCTTCTACAAGAGTTTTTCTCTGTGAGTACAACTCCTTACACCTACTCAAACGTAGAAATCGCAGTTTTATTTGTTAAGACCTATTTGTCAAAACCACAAAATATTCTAAGCAAAACCATTCATTCTTCCTTATGCTTTCATTCCACAGTCTGTTTGCAAAATTTATGCAAAAAAATTTTGAAGAATCAAGTGTTAAGAGAGAACATTGATCCCATTGATATATCAATCTTTGAAGAAGATTCTTGCTGCAGCCTCTTATACTATATCCAATGATTCTCTGAACAAAGTTCTTAAAAATTCATAGCAGAATCCTCCAACATTTTGTAGAGGAGAGCTCTTACACAATTATCCTAAATGAAGGCACTCCAATAAAATGTCAGCTGAATTTTATGAAAAACAAAAATAAAGCTTTTACTAAAGAGACCTCAAATGATCCACACCAAGCACACAGATTTCAGCAAAGAAATGTCAGATAATGGTTAGTCAACATCACTGTCACTCGATTCCATCCATAACATGTTTTTTTATCCGAAATAAATCTGTGTAAATTCATTACTGTATTAGCTGCCTGTTACATTTTGAAAGTTTCATCAATAAAACAAGCATTGCCTTACCATGTCTTCTGTCGCCGAAATAAACCTCTTGGTGTCATTGCCTTGCAGACTGCCCAATAGTTTAACATTTTCAAGAAATCAAATAAGGCACATATGACAGTTTCTAAGCAATGATATCTGTACGGATCAGAGGTGCTCAGGAGTTTACCTGAAGCGTAGCACATAGCATCCATAACTTCACAAATACGTAGATAAAATTGTTGTAAATGCACAAAATAAAAACATTCATTCTCTTTGCTTTATGCCAACACCAGATTCTGTGGTCATTCTTTCTAAGAAGCCACGATGTCCATCAGGAGATCAAACAGTTGAAATTAATTGCCAAGAACTTCACATTATGACAACTCGATAATAAAAATGATGTAACTTACCAAGTTATGTGACAGGGGAAAAGCATGTTTTGTGAGGACTTCAAATATATCTCTTCTGCTGTGCCCTTCTTGTTTTAATGCAAACCGTAAATTTCTCATATCCTAAAACAAAGATAGTATCTTTTAAGTGAATCAGAGCACTAAGATACTTTCATCTGATGTACAAATGCTACATTACACAGCAAACAATTTAGAAACTCAAACCATCGTGAATGTTCAGTTTTATTCCTTATCCCATGAAATAGGGGATAATTCTACAAATAAAGCAGTACCACACTGTGTGGTGCAAACTTTTGGCATAAAGCCATCAGAAATTACTGTATCTGATTCACTGTAGAGTTTCATGGTCTATTGAATGCTTGCAGGATGAGAATTACTCTGTTTTCAAACTGAAAATCTGTCAATAATCTGTCTACACTACATTGTTCGTCACTATTTTCTCATCACTAACATCAAAAATAAGCAACCGGCACATTAACTATTATGAATCAAACGTGTATATTTACTCCATTAGCAAGTCAAACAAAGGATCCTGAATTATCCACTAGGAACTCCCCTAATGACCATATATTTTCGCAGCAACATAATTTTTTGCGAGACTAAGGAAATACAGATTGCTGTTACATAAAGTCTTCACTGCTTACAAAACCCCCGTTTGAGGTGTTCTTCAAAAACTTTAGGATTATAAAAAAATTACCTTTAAAACAAATGAAATAATGAAGCAATGCAGGAATAATGCCCTAAACTAAGCCTAGTGCACAAAACCTCTTGTCAGTTAATGATTTAGAAAAGAAGCCCAACTCCTCTCCACATGTGCAGGGAGGAAAGATAAACAGCTCTTTATACAAAAGGGATTTCCCTGTCCAGTTTCAAAAAAATTTTTAAATTCAACTCTGAGGAATATGTGGGATTTTTTCAGTTAAAATAGGTAAGCTGTGTGAAAAGGAACTTGTAGATTTCATTTCCTATTGAATTATTGGAAAGTCTTACTTTACACGTTATGTCTAATCCATAAGCGTTCTCTCCTCTGCTTGAAGCTCCTCCCATTTTTTCAATCCTTGAAATTACACCCAGTGGAACATTCAATACCACAACTGGATCCTGGAAGGAAAATTTGAGCAAAGAAAAGATTAATCTGAAAAGATGACTAATGCAAAATGTTCTTATGTGTTCTAGAATAGAGAAGAGATGTGAAATCCATATAGGAAGCAAAAGTGTGTCTCTTTGTTTGATTGAGTCTCCCCTCCCAACATGCTGTGAAGTCTGTAAAGTCACTCTATGGCCTTGAACACCATCTAACTTAACACACAACAAAAATGCCTAATACAACATTTGAGGGGAAAAATGGTGGCAACACCCTAAAGGATGCCTTCTGCCACACACTTCTGATTGTCTCTGCCTGCTAAGACTGCTTTATTAATATCAAGAATGAAGTACAACAAACAGAAAATGAGATTACTGGTAGAGTTAGCTGCAACCAGAAAGACCTCAGTTCAATGTTCTAAAATCCTTTTTTACAAAAAAAATTATAAAACAAGTAACGAATGCATTTTATTCTCTTTCACGTCGCTGCTTATCAAACACACCACTGCCTCCACCCATGCAAGGTTCTACTGACCAAAGCATTCTTCTTCTCCAACAGCAAGGACAATCAAAATCTTGGTGTACTGATGGCCATTTTAAGAACTATTGCACATCATTAGTTGCTGCCCTTGATCTATCACAGAGTAAGTGTAAAGGGAACAGCTATCAAAAAAGCTCTGACACACAAAAGATAAAGGTATCAGTTCAGCACGATTAAACTGTGATTTTACCAGGCAAACCCCACATTTTTACAAGACATTTAACTTTAAAGAACTTCCCTTTTCATGTGGATTTCTCTGTGGCACGAAGGCAATTACTATTTAGTTATTACACAATGAAGATATGGTTATTACAAACATTAGAGACCATTTCAAGCAAAAAGCCTCGTAAGAAATTCCACAAGCATACGTGTGCCAAAACTAAAACGAACCGGCCACGAAATAAATCCAAGGCAGTGGGGCTGAAGGACAGGGGGTTTAAAGCCAATTCATCCCACGGAAGTAATTGTGGCATATTACTCACGTTTTCCACACTTCTTAGGTACAGCCTGTAGTTTGTGATGTACACTCTTCCTTTAACGGGGCCATTAAATGGACACATATAAATAACCTCCTTGTCTGTAAGAAATGCAGCATATCTTAAAGATTGCCAAAAAATCAGAGCTATGGACAGCATCAATTAAGCAGCAGTAAAATAGAGTTGTGCTCAGAGGAGCCACTCTGAAAGATTAGTGAATTCAAAAAGCTAAAAATCAGAATTTTGTCCACTTGTATTAAGAAAATGTGAAAATTTCATATACTAAACATGCCCAAATTAAATCAGTAGATTCCAGCAGCCTTCCCTAGTTACATTTGTGTCCTTCTCTTTCTTGGCAGTATGTGGGAGAGGGCAGGACGTAGAACAGCAAGTAGATTCAGAGTCCTCTCTGAGATTACTGAACCAGTCTGTTTGCTATCCCAGAACAAATACATTCTTCTGTTGATATTATTACATCTTTCATCACTCTGTAACCAATTCTGCATTAAAGTACACAGTTCAAGCTGTAAAGTGTTCAGGGAATTCACTGTCCTGAAGAGAAACATTACGTTTCAATTTGCAGCAATCAAACACAGCAGGGCCATGAGCAGTGTTTCAGCAAGGACAGTAACAAAACAAGTACTAACAAATACTACTCAAAACATAAAGATTTAACTGAAGCAATGCCATTGAAGACTGAAGTGAAGCACTACAAACCATCTATTTCTCCCTTTCCACTCATTTCTTTAGGCCTATCTATTTATCTGCCCTCCACAACAAGCACCCTCCTCCCAGCGTGCTGCCCCAAAGCACAGACGACTGTCACAAGGACCGGATCAAATACTCATCTTAGTCCCACACCCTCCTCCTCACGCCTTCCCCACAAATCGCCTCATTAAAAACATAATTACTTCCTCTGAATCATCATGGCTGGGCTTTGCGAATGAAGATATGGGAAGGGCTCTACCCACACTTGCTACAAGTGCGCTGATGGCTAAAAAGGCCGATGCGGGACAGGCGAGTCCGGCTGCAAAAGGCACAGCGCAAAGTCTCCTTAGGGGGTACTGGCGAGGCACGGTTCTTCCTGCGTTGCCTTTTCTCCTCGAGACTAATTCTACGTGCGTTCTCAAAGGAGGCAGCAGCGTTATGGATGGGGGGGCTCCATGTCTCCCGCTGGGGGGCCCGG